TAAAGGAAAATTTCTAGCGAAAGAAAAGCCACTGGTCCCAGAAAAGAAAAGTTGAAGGCGAACCTTTATGGCCTCATCGAAAGATAACTTCAGTCGGGGTCATGCTCGTCTAATTCCAGCTAGCCCCGGGGGCCGGAAGTTCGTTCGTAGCCCACACATTCTTTAGAACTAGGTTCAGGCTGCCCAGTTCTCTTATAGCAAAGTGAAAATCTTCCTAGGAAGCTTGTGACCTTTTACGAATCACATAATATTGGGCGAGGGCATTCGTTATTAGCAACGATTATTCTTAAGATGTTTCATCTGGTGAAGTCAAGCTTGGCATCCCGACACCTGCCCCTCGAGTCCCAGAAGGAAGAAACTAGCCAAGAACATAGCATGACTCGCTCGATTGCGCGCGGCATATTTTATTAGACCTCGTACGAGACTGTCGGCATACTCGGAGTTCTGTTGAGCATCCTGCTGTCTATCGGCGTCCGGCGGCCAGGCGGCAGTTCCCTCTCGGCTCTTGGTTGGTAGACCCGCAAGGAGACGAAATGGGCCGAATAGCTCAGTAACATGTCATAAAAACTTCAACGCGCCTGGCCCAAGCCTAATGTTCGTCTCGTATTGAATGATTGAACACCACTACATAATCAGCGTATCTGACTCAAAGCAAAACTCGTTTTGGCCTTTTTCCATCTTTCTACTTCGCCATATCTTCAGCATGTTCCTAGGAGTCAACTAGTTTCAGCCAACACTGGAAGTCAACCTTTACGAGTTGATTGCTTTAACGGGTAAATGTGTCCCATATGCCTTGTTCACATACCAAACGAGGTGTATTAACTTGACTTCTAATAAGGTTGCGGAGGATTCTTTATCGTCAAGAGGGGAAATGCCACGCGGTGGCCAGTGGTCTTTAAATAGATCCGAGCGTCAATTTGATGAAGATGGCTAAAACTTTATCACTGTCCTAGCGAACGAACGCAGCCGATCGGATGGGCTGGCCCCACAAGGCTCACAGATGAAACCATGACAAGCAAACAGGTCTGGTGAGAAGGATGGTTATCAAGCCCAGACAACATACCATGATTCTAGGCCTGCGAGGCCGGCCAGGCCTACACAGCCCCTTCTCTGAGCTGCAAGAAGGGGTTCCCTAGTCTTGAGTCAAGTTGGTGGCTCTGAAAAAAGTGAATGCATGACGATGTAGGCGAACCGTCGCAACTTTATTCGCAGTGTGCCTGAAAACCCCTGTTGCAACTTGATCATGTCCTTTGCGTCGGGTACAGCGGACTGACCGAGCTAGTAAGTTGTTGTTAGTCCAAGTGGTTTGACTGACTATGATATTGCTCTGCGATCATGTTCGGATGATAAAACGAACGCCGGCTGCCCTACGAGGCGTTGGGGCCCTGATTTGTTTGGTCAGCTTCGGCCGTTCCTTCTCTCAGTCACTCTTTTGACCGTAACCTATAACCACTCATTTGACTCCTTTTCGTTCTTCATTTAAGTCATCCTCAGCCTTTATCATGGTGAAATCACGGGACTCTCTTCGGGGTCTCGTTGGGGCCATTGGTTTGCTAGCGGTTGGAACCAATGGTCAGACAGACAACACGGTTGAATGGGTTAGCTTCCTCCTGGGACCACCACTCCCCAATATCGCAAGAAGGGCAACGGGACTGACAAAAGCCGTCTGTAATACAGACTCTTGGAATGCCGCTTAAGTTCTTTGCTACGGCCGAGAATACACCATCATGCGCTGCAAGCTTTCAAGACGCAACGGGGGATGCCAAAACGTTCACACCAGTTCAGTCTAATACTGACACGGTGATGGCGGGTGGCACGGCTGCCGATCTAGCTACCACATTTTACTTAACAAACGGAATATTGGCCGGTGGTAAATCTTTCACCGATCCTTCGGGGATCAGAGTTGCCGGAGGAGGCTCCGGTGGTGGCTGCTGGGATATCTCCAGCGGTACTGTCAAGGTTGCTGCATGCGATCTGGCCAAGAACCAGACATTCTATGTGAGCTGAAGTTTTCCCTTGCTTGAGCTACGAAGGGTTTCCCTAACGAAAAGTTTCATCAGGTTGGCATTCCCGGAGACAAGCAGCCCTTCTTCATCTACTCCTCAACACTGGGTGCCCTCGAGAGGCCCGCCAACGCCGGCGAAGCCCTTACCTTCCCCTCAGCCAGCCAGACCCAGTTCTGCGCGTACGCCAACGACACCGGAAAGCTCGTCATTCCTCCCGCCACGGGGACCATGTACTACCCGCAAGCGCAATTGACAAACCTCACATCCACCTCCTTTGGCACCACTCCGCCAGCATCAGAAGGCGATATCCCTCAGTGCAGATTCGCCGACCAAGGCAACACATCAACATCCATGCTAGAAAGTATGGGTTCGACCGACTGCATCGTTGCGCGCTCTTTTGCTACCATCCCCAGCGGCTGCGATGCCAATCCTTCCAACAAGACTTGTATCCTTCACTTGTGGCCTGCCTTTTGTCTGGATCTTCCTGAAGTTCGCACTGGAGCCAATGCGTCGGATGCGCTTGAAGTTTGCGTGAGGAAGATTAGCCAGGGACCTTGTGTTGCTAATCCCTCAGGAGCCGCTTGCGCTTCTAATTTGTTCGCTGGGATCAAGTATGTTGGTGGTGTTGGTGGTGGAGGCGGTAGCGCGAACTCGAAGCGCCAGACTTCAAATGATCCTCTATTTGGAAACCCCGGGTCGAATATTCCTCTTGAGGACCAGTTTTGGATGGGTAAGTTGTGACTGATTCTAATACCAAGAGAGCCCCAATCACTGATACGAGGCTTGCTTCAGGCGTAATGAAGAACGTCATCAACTCAGCTATCGGTGCTTTCAAGTTTCTAGCTACGCCTCACGTCCAAGAGCTCAAGGTTACATGTATGGGGATGAGCCATCTTACCAGCATCTTTGAGGCGAGCGTCGGAAAGACCATTCGAGAGGGATGCAGAGACGCATTCAGAGCCTTTGATGTGAGTAAACACGCACTCAGGCCTCGTGAAAAGCCCCAGTCGAGTGCTTCTGCTGACGTCTTGTCAAACAGAGCATCCACGAACTCACCTACGACAACGATATTGAAAAGGCGGGCAGCATCTTCGCGGATGTTGTGGGACTCTTGAGTGTGGCCAAGGACGTCGCAACAGCAGCGAAGGCTGTTGGTGCCGTGGACGCTGTATTGACAAAGTTTGGCAAGACTGCGGCAACTGTTGGCGAAGGCAAGGGGCTCATGCTGGAAGCTAAGGAGGGTGAGAACACTGTGCAGATCTTCCGTGATACCGGCGATGGAAAGCCCAAACTGCTGTACACGGATAGCGACGTTGCTGCCATGGAGAAATCCATCGAAGAAGGAGGTGAGTCTAAGCAACGCCAACTTTAGTCCAATTACTCAGGCTTCAGAGCTAACCTCATCAGGATTCGACAACTGCAAAATCTGCATCGAGGGAGGTGGTGCCAGGGTCCGCCGCCAAAAGGGCATCTTGCGCAAGTTCTGTTGCTTCTTGAGTCCTCAGACCCTGGAAGCACCAGAGCCCGTTTGGAACGACCAGACCGGCCTGGCAACCGGCCTCGGCACATCTGAAGCCATCCCCTTGGCCAATCGCGTCGTAGCCACTCTCTCCGAGACCGCAGCCCTCACAGCTGACGAGAAGACGCTTATCACTACCATGAGCGAGGGCTTTGCTAACTGGTACACCAAGGCGCAGTCCGTCTCCGCCAATGTCGACGAGATTAGCGCTGTGTTGCTCGAGGCAAGGAAGAAGACCGCCGACTGGGGCAAGATCGCCACCGCAACGTCCAAGGCGTATGGTCTAAGTGATCAGGAGAAGTGGGCTCTCAAGACCTGGATCCAATGGTACATGATCAACCCCGAGTTCAACAACGCCTTGTCAAAGCTTCCCTCTGCTACTGGCTTAGTTGTACGCTCGACTGATCTTGATGCTGCGACGGTCAACATGCTCAATAAGCTTGAGTCCGGTGTGATTAGCAAGGGAAAGGCAGGCATCTACGAAGTTCAAGGTGAGTTATGCTGATATTCTACAGTCTTCAATGTTAATATTTGCTAATAACTTGTAGACCTCGTTCTCAATGTCAACACACCTTCAGGTGGCACCGGCGAGGTTCGCAAAGTCATGGCGACGACCCTCAACCTCGGCGACGGCATGTTCACAACCACAAAGGACTACCTCTTCATGATCAACTCCAAGTCAGGTCGCTACATTGAAGCCGTTGCCAACTCGGAATACCGCGAGACCTCATTTGTGCAGGGGATTTCCGGAAAGTTCAAGCTCATCGGCAAGCAAGAGTTGAACGGTGGAGAAACCGCCAAGGCGGCGGGCAAGCCGGGTCCTTATGCCGTCTACTAGTGAGTAAATCGACGTCAGTGTTTCAGCTGAAGTTCCCAAGACTAACCAGAGAAAAGCTTTGATGAGGTCGAGGCTCCGGCTTCAACTTCGAAGGCTACTGTCGCGGACGTCAGAAAAGCCCTGACTGATGAGGGTGTCACATTATCTGGAGGTTCTGCTAAGCGCGGTCTCGATGGCCTGCTAAATGCACTTGAAACGAGAGTTGTTGGCTCTGGGAAGAGGAGGCATGACTTGGATTATCACGTCCGCAATCGCGTTGTCCGTTATTGAGACAGCGGGTTCGGGCGATGATTGTAGGCTATGGGTAGTACCCAGGCAGCTTCGTATACATATATCAAAGTCACTTCTGACCACTTCCTTCCATTTCCTTCGAGAAAACATTGCTATGACGATCTTCGTATTAGTAACACTTCCAAAGCACACAAATGTAGAATACATCATCCCAGTGGTGTCATTGCTCTCGTTTCTAAGTTTGCTTAGGGTTGTTCAGATGACAGCAGGCCCTGTATTGCCCCCTTGATTCCATTGAAAGCTGAGCACGTAATAATACTTGCTGAAAACTCTCCCGGGATCTTCTTGGCCCAAATCCCAAACTTCCTTTCGCCGAAAATATCTTGCCAGCAACTCGACTTGATCTTCAGCGGCGGACACCTTGGTCCATAGTATTGACTGCAAGCATGTACAGCTGCAACTTCTCTGACCAATCGGGCCCAAAAGTCATCAGGACTTCTTGCATGACTCTTGTATCAGGCGAACGTCCAACCCCAACCTTCTGTCTGACTTTCTCCTGGATCTCCCGCACTTCCTTCAACGTCTCCAGTTCCGCCTCGCTCGCCGGTCGAAGCGCACGAGTGGGAGGCTTGGTTCCGGCGTCATCAAGGTCTTGTTTCACGTACATTGGGGAGCCACGAGGAGGGTCAATCAGGACCTCCAGCCTAACCCTCTCCAATTCCTTCTTCTCGCTAGCAAACGTCGGCCCAAAGAGAATTCGCAAGTATCCAGGCGTGTCTTTGCCAGCGATGACGAGACGGCGCAGTGGCAATTCCATTCCTGGGCGAACCGAGATAGGATCGATGTTAAGCGAGCGCAACAACGCCTGCCCCTCCTCAGATGTTCGCGCCACATTGTTGTAATAGTTGTATGCGGGGCCCATGCCCGGCGACGCAGCCGTGGACGGGGCTGGAGCCGGGCGGTGGGCGACACAGGTCGGCTTGTGCATTTTCCAGTGCGAGCGCTGGCAGTCCTGGGAATGATACCACGCCTTTTGACACGCGGAACACTTCTTCATCGGCGAGGGGAAGTTTTCGGAGGAGACACCACAGCCATGGCATTTGGATGAGTCCCCGGGTGACACAGCGGACGGAACTGCGGTCGCCTGTCCGGGCCTGCTACCACCCATGAAGTTCATCAGGAGGTCTCTGAGCTCAGACCAAGTTTCTCCGAGGATCTCCTTTTTCCTCAGCAGAGCAAACGGTCACCTTCTCAAGACCACCCGGGATTCCTGCAGCAGCCAGCTCTGGCCCAATAGCGGCAGCGAGTTCGGGACTGTCTGTCGACCAGCTCCAGGGAGCAAACGCAACATGTTCAGCACCTGGGCTGCCTTTGAAGAAGGCTTGGAGAAGGGGAGTCACAGTCGCTCTGGCTCTATCACGTTCGGTAGGCTGCGAGAGGATCTGAGCCGGGCCGCCTCGCAACACGAACCGGCTGACTGGGTGTACGGCGATTACCAGATCTCCAGGCGGATTGAGTTCGACGTGTCAGACACCAAAAACCCATTTGTTTTCAAGACCCGAAGGCGTTGACTTTGACCGGCCGAGGGTCTTGAAGTCCCTTACCGCTTGCTCCATTTTGCGAGCGGGATCAATACGATGGTGCGTTTGTCTAGTGCGGTAGTTATTGAACGATGACCTGGTGACCAGAGAGGAAATCAGCAACCCACGTTTATGTATGCCATTTACCCAAGTAGCTTACCTGACTTTTGTTTGTCGGTTGCGTAGAAAGCAAAACGGAAAGGTTGTAGATGGCAGGAACAGTGTTGGGGGCGGGGGTCCAACAAATCCAAGGTTCAGGAAAGTTCCATTCGAGCCCACGGACATTCCAAGCTCGGAACGGGGAATATTCCTTCGAAACGCGTTGGAGGGGATGTTCTTGCCTCGTCTAAGTAGGTACCTTATGAACGGGATCTTGCAGGAAAGTGTTGAGAGTGTCGACTTTCTTCTCCTCCAAGACTTCGAGAGACAGCAGCCACGCTCGGCCGTACCTGCCCGCCCCTATTTGCAACTCAAGATGCCGGACACTTCGGTGACATGACCTCTGATTGGTGCTCGGAGCGAGCCGGACGAACATCGGGAAAAAAGAATAAGCGAGATCGTGTGGCTGAGGGGCAGCGTTGGATCCTTGAGGCTATCGCGACACCTGCACATTGCGAATTTTTTCCCACATTGAAGGAGTCATCGGAGTTTCTCGGTTACGGGACTATAACGCTCAATACTTATCATAACTTGGTGCCTCTACTCACAGCTGCGCCAATCTCTTGCCGAACAGCCAAGTCCGTGATGATCTCCTCACTTCCGCCGCCGACGATGTTCACTCGAAGGTCTCTGCTGATCTGTTCGACGCGAGCCCCAACGCCGCCACGCTGATATCCAGCACCACCAAATATCTGCTGTGCCTCCCGGTTCGCGAGCTCTAGAAGACGTCCGCCGTGAATCTTGGCCATGGCGATCCTTGATGCTAGTTCTGTGCCCATGGAGCCGGTAGTGTGAGCATGATACGCAATCTGTTCGAGCCAGGCCCAGTGCGACTCGATGTAGCGCGCCATTGTGATGAGCTTATGTCGAATGATCTGATGATACATGAGTGGCTTGCCGAATGTGTGGCGGTCTATGGCATATGCCCAGGCGTCTTCCAGGCAAATTCTGGCCTGGCCGTTCATGAGTACAGCAAGGATGAATCGTTCCTTGTTGAAGTCTGTTTGTTCAGTATAAGAGCCAAGGTATATGTCATCTTCTCACAGGGTCACCTACTGGTCATAATGTACTGAAACCCAGCGTTCTCCTGCCCGATGAGGTGATTGACAGGTACTTTGACATTGTCCAGTGTCACCCATGTGCTGTCTCCAGCGTTCCATCCACTATTACTAATCTTGCGTCGAGAAACGCCGGGAAGATCAAGAGGTATGACCAGGACTGAGATGCCCTTAATACCAGGGCCTCCGGTCCTTACAGCAGTTGTCATGTGGCTAGCACGTATCGCACCGCTGATCCACTTCTGAAGGTTCATTAGTCTCAAGTCGTGAGCATTGAAGAGATGCAGGAGTCCATCTGTAGAGTTTATGGTATTTTGACTTACCTTGTGGCCGTTGACGGTGTAATATGTTCCATCATCTGATTTGGTTGCCGTGGTCTTCAAATTCGCCAAATCGGAGCCGCCTTCACGCCTTTAATCACGACACTCTCGAGAGAAACGTCCGACAATACTCACCAGTAGGCTCAGTACAACCGAGACAAAAGCTTGTTTTCCCGTTAACAAGCCCAGGAAGCCACCATTTCTTCTGCTCTTCTGTGCCATGATGGATGACAGGAGGTACGCCGATTGTCGTGCCGCCGTTGAGTCCCACAGACACTCCGGCAGCCCATATTCTACTAGCTTCGTAGCTTACAACAAGCGAGTGAAAGATATCCCATTCTAGGGATGATGTCAGAAGACGGCTTCACACTGAAGCTTCGTGCTTACTCTCAGCTGGGACATTGCCCGGTAATGGAACATCGCCAGCATATTCACGCGGCAAGTCTGGGAAAGCCAAGCCTGATTTGGCAAAATGAATTCTTGCTTCATCGGGGACATGTCCCTTCTCTTCCCACTCTTGAATATTGGGCGCGATATGCTCCTCGATGTACTTGCGCACGTAGTCCCTCACCCTCCGATGGCTTTCATCGTAGTAAGGAGAAGCCAGGGTATTGTACCACGCCGGCTCCGCAAAGGGCGCAGGGTTGCCGTATGGCTCAACGACGGGAATATTCTTGACTTTGATTGACATTGTCTCTCCTCAAATCTGGCTCGATTTCTGCCCAGCATTCTTGTGAATGCCATGACTCTTGTCCATCAGTTTCCTAAAATACATGTGCGGCCCGGTGCACGGTTCGGGATGAGCCGAGGTCCGCCTTGGATACAGCCGCTTGCCCCGCGCCATCCACGTAGCTTCTTGTCACGTCTCGCTCCTACCCCGCGCTCCCGCGCTTGGGGATGTCGGGGAAAAAGGGGCTTGAATTGTTAAGACAGCCCTTAGTTGATCCGGATGTGCGATGCGGTCGGACTTTGTTACCTTTCGGCACGACTCGCGTCGGTGTTAGGTGACGGCGACAACACTTGAGGCACAAGCTGGCACGGCTTGATGTCTAAGGCCTAGGTTTCGGCCGCAAGGAAGCAGGCAGCACCTTCTTTCAGCTGAAATGCTGTTATTCCTGCAGGCCAGACCCTGTTACTAGTTTCGACGGGGAAGATGCCAAAGTGAAGGCGATTTGGGTGGTTTTCTGCGAAAAAGCATCTTGGACACTGGATCGCAATGCGGCAGGTAAGGTCAATGCTTTGTGACAAGCTCCAAACAACCTACTTGATCGTCGACTTTGTCTACTGATGTTGCATCAAGCATGGGACTCTTCGAACCCAAGGGTCAGGTACGGAGGAACCCTTGATGTGACATCGAAGAATGCAAACGCCACGTATCATATGATAGAGCATCCTGGCCATCGACCGGAGAGATGTCTGTGACAGCCAAGCGCCCTCCTACAAGCAATTCGTCCTCGTGAGTTTGAGTAGCACACAGCTTCATATTTCATGATACCCCTCAAACCAATAAGGAAATGCCTCCTTCTCTTATTCTCGGTCTCATTGTCTGAAAGAAGTATGTAAAGCCTCGGACTCGGCGAGTCATTTCGGGTCTTCGGCTTCATGTTTGACGTCAGCGGTAGGACCTCTCCCTGTTCATCCCTGATTGACTTTTAAAGTTGTATAAGCGCACCTTTTTCTCTCTTCCGCGCGTCTGGCTAGCCACCTACTCTACCGGCTATCAAACACGTGTATGTGTTGGCTGATCAAGCCGTCTCCAAATTGTCTGAACACATTGTTCCCGGCGTCTTGGGTATTGTCCGAACAAGTCGAAACGCAACGGAAGGAATGTTGCACGTGGAAGATCCGGAGAGGAGGGGACCAATCAGCCAGCCCACTGATTCTAATGAGAGTTGCAAAGAGTCGGGATTTGAGCTGTCGTAAGCGAAGTTCTGCTTAGCAGAAACTCTACCATGTCAACGTCAAGCCATAACCAAGAGAGTTCTCAGTCAACTACTCCAGCTGAGCTGCAGTTGGTGGAATAACGCGAGAAACACGCGTTAGCAGGCAACCGGCCTGCTTTCCTTTTACCGGAACATGTAGCACTCTAATTCAAAACTTGCACATTCAGCTGAGGAGGTGGTCACTTTTTTGACTTTCCGTTACCGTGTACTCTGTCAAGGATGGCAGCACACACAAAGTTCCCGTCTCGCAACCCTCTTGAATGCCTTGTGTCGAACTCTATTCAGCTTGGGAAAGGTCACCCACCGGGACGACGTTTCAGAGCTTGTCCAATTCAATCCATCCCCTCCCCTCCTCTTTTCTCATTGACTTTCCCAATCAGGTGTCATTTTCTTCCCTTCTAGAGCCCTTCTAGTGCTGCTTTCCTCAGCTTCTGCCCCTCGATGCCATCACCGCTGCTGCCCCTACTGTCAAAATTTCTCCTCTTCCTCCCTGCCACCTATGGAAGCATCGTGACTTGTTGTACCGACCGACCGACCGACCGAGACCCCGGAGTCGGCATCGCAATATGTCGTTCTTTCGGTCGTTGGACGCGGTCAAGGGCATGCCTCTCATGACACCGGAGCGAGAGGCTGCTTTTAGGGCGGAAAATCGAGCGGGAGAGGTGTATACGATCCACATCATCTTCTTCGTCCTCTCGATTCTCTCGGTTTGTGCCCGGCTTGCTGCGGCGAGGCAGTCTGGTCGGAGGCTGGCTTGGGATGACTGGCTGTCGGTAACTGCTCTAGTGAGTCTGCGATTCTCTGAGGGAATGGCTCGACGACGTTGAAAGTCTCATGATTCTCGTGGACTTCTTCCTTCTTCTCTAGTAGCGAGTGTCGCTTACACATGTTGCAGGTCTTCATCGTCGGAGTGTTCACCGGCACAATGTTCTGGCTCAAGTTTGGACTTGGTAGACACGAAGTAGTTGTCCACGAGGAAGACCCCATGAACATTACCCGATTCTATCAGACAATCTTCGCCAACGAGATTATGTATCCAATGGGGCTCGCAAGCGCACGGCTATCACTAGTGATATTATATCACCGCATATTTGGACTCTTCAGTGCGAGGTACTATCTGTACGGTCTCATGTTCTTCATCGGAGCTTGGGCAATATACGCAGTAAGTCACTCTGAGCGCCAGCAGAGTCCTAATCTGAAAGGGTTACTGTCTCACAAGGAAGTTGATATAAACTCATGCTACAAGAGGCATGGGACGGTGCCATTGGATATTTTCAATAAGTACTGACACTAGAACTAGACTATTCCAACGATTGTGGCTTGCATACCCGTGCAAAACTTCTGGACTACACACAAGAACTGTCTTGACCTTTCCAAGCTATACATCAGCATAGCAGTTGGTAGCATCGTGACCGACTTCGTGTTGATACTTATTCCAATACCCTACGCGATGAGGTTGACGATGTCACCTTTTAAGAAAATGCTCCTCATCTCGTCCTTTGTATTCGGCGGCTTGTGAGTATCTTCTATCTTTTCATGCTTGCGAGCAGACAGACGAGAAAGACTTGCTAAAGGTTTATGAATAGCAACTGTTTCATCACCATCATCAGACTGGTCAAAGTCTCAACCTTTGACTACAAAGATCCCACATGGGGAACCGTCGATTTGATGATTTGGACAGGACTGGAGGCTTATTGGTAGGCACTTAATGCCCCATCTACGATAACTCTTGTCAAGGACTTACACTCATACTCGAATAGTGCCGTGATATGCTGCTGCCTACCGACCCTTCGCCCCTTACTCCAAGTCCTCCGTTCCAAATCCTCCAAAGACACCAACCAAAATGAAGACGAAATGAGTCGGCCTGACGTTTATCTGAAAATGCCACCGCAAATAGCTTCTCGCTCTTCTGAGGAGGCACTTGAGGAATACGACTTCGTCAAGATGAGTCTTGCAGATCTTCAGCAGTATAGCCGGCGCACGATGATCGAGACGGGAGGGACAGCATTGGTGTATAGACAGCCATAGCAGGATAAGACCAAAGCATCATTTTAGAGCTAGTGTTTAATATCAATAATAGAGCCCACCACCTCAGTCCAAGATTGCGGTTATTCGACAAGCGAGCGTGCTGACATCAGAATTACTTCTGGAGGACGACACATTAGCTTGACCGAGTCTCAGGAATAGCAAAATCTCCCTGAATGGTTCAGGTCTCTTGGAGCCACTCGCTGTGTCGGCTTTGAAGACTTCACTAAGGGAGGGGATGTCTAGGCTCTAGTGGTCTTCTCGAGCGACATGGAAAGTACGTATTCGCAAGTATCTGTACCCAGAATCGACTTCTAATAGTTGGACGATATTTAGAAGCTAAACTGCATGCCAAGGCTATCGGTTCAACTGTCACGCTAGGAGAATGAAGGATTCTTCGAGATACGCTAGTTCTAGTCACACTATTGAACCTAAACTCGCCGTTGTCATACTAGCTTCCGCCGTACAGCCGTTCCGAGCAGAAACTCTATTGGGATCTTATCTGCTCAACGGGCGGCCATTTACAGGTTTAAGGTAATTATTCGCACTTCAGCATTGTTGTCCGAAAACCTTGCCCTAGTTTCGCTTAAGTAGACTCCTTTGGGAATTGATCCTTGCCTAAGGCTTGCTTGCAAGCGATATTCTTGCTGCCCTTGATCAATTTGTAGTCACGTGGAGTCGCGAACCAATCTTCAGACTCCAATTTCCTCCCACGGTTATGGAAGGAAGCGAGCCAGAATGGTATCGACCTCGTCCCAGCAGCAATCACCCGTATCCGAATCTCGCTCCCATGGATTTGGATCCTTCTAAGGTAGGCTGCAGACGGAACGCTACTGCATCTTAGACTTTTGTGTTTGAAGGTTGTCATACGACTTCGGACTTGGTCGCAATATCACATTTAGAAGCACGCGATCAATAGAGCACGCCTACCTAGCCGAGAAGATTCAAGTCATTGATACTAGGTACGGATACTAAGAAGGGAAGAAGGAGGCACGGGAAGGGGATATTATGCTCGGGGTAGGCCTTCAAAGTAGGATCATGTCTAGCCAAATCTGACGAAGTCTGACTAACAGAAATCAATTGCCAACGGCCCCGATTTAGCAGAGAGACCATGGTTGAAACCTCGGGAATCAAAGAATACTCAGAGAAGTGATCCATAATGCTCATCCAGAAGAGGATTCGTTTGCATGCTATGAGATACACAGCTCGCAGCCCTGGAATCTTCCATATGTGGCGTGGCATGACGGCCCTTGGCCACCCAATTCGGAGCCCAAACAACATCCCTGGCATATTGGGATGCCGACGAGTGGGACGTCCTGTCGAGTATGTCAAATCCATCAATGTCTTTCCCAAGTATCTCACATGTGGTACACACGTTGGTGCCTGGTAGGCTCCATCAACTACTGCGTATGCGGGCAATAATTCCCAATACTCCGGACACAAATCAGCTCTTTCCAGGCCGGGATCCCTCCCAAAGCCCTGTCGACAACATGGAAGCCATACGGACTCTCAGTTCTCGACCACCTGATAGGAGAGTTTTCTCAGGCGCAGACGTAAGTCGGTTCATCATTTTGCTCGTCTGTTGCGTCGCATCGTCCCACATCGGTCGAGGCAAGTATCCGCACGGGTAACTGCTTGCACCACATGTCGTCGATATCTGAGCTTCCACTCGACGACGTTGCCATCGACGCCTCTTTAATGGGCCGTTTTCCCACGCTATCCAACGACCGTTGAAAAATCATAACCCGCCACTATCACTGGTCCGGTCCATTTCGGTCCCCTTGCTCGTATGAACAGGGCTAACGCACTCGGCCCCCATGCTGTCACTTCTCACTCGCCAACAGCCTTGATGGGTCCTCCTATCCGCCCCTTGAGGATCGGTCATCAAACACTCTTCTCGTTGCATCTCCTCCCCGGCTTCACTCGGGAACCGTGGCTCCACTGGCGTAGCATTCGGAATTCCCAGAGATTTGTTCGAGAGTCCAGACTTCGTACTCTCCCAAGCCAGACTACTCGCTACGCTTCCTCGCTACCGTCGATGAAGGACTCGGGGACCGGGGAAATACTAGCAAGGAGGTACGGCGAAGGGGCTCGTACTTCCTGAGTGATGTGATTTGATAGGATGTCACGGCATCGGCGTTGAGTATACCCGTAATGTGATACATCTGGCTTCGGGGCCGTATCTTGATCCGGCAATCTGGTCGAAGGGCACCGACTGTCTACGCAGTAGAAAACTGCGAGTTGCGTTACATACAGTGTAATATGATCTGGTATGCTTGAATACGGAGTACATGTCGGATATACATGGCGCCGCGCGGTATTGGCCATGCAGGACAGCTGTCCAATGTCAGCTACAGGATAGCGTGATTCTTATGCATGACTGTGACTCCCTTGTCGAATGTAGATGAGTGGGAATTGCAGGGACATGCACACGAGAAAGACTTATGCTGCCCTGGTCAACACAACTTTGCGAGAACCAGACTGCTGGGCAGATGGTATCGAGAAGGAAAGGAATGGAACGGGGGAAGGTAGGGCGGACATGCTGGTCGGAAGACATCAAGTGAATCCGAGCCAACATTTGGGGATCGGAGTATTGTCAGCAAGCATGATTCGATCTGATTTTTAGCTGTCAAATGGTACCAGTCAGATCTTTGAATGGTGAGGTTGGTTGCCAACTGGTTAGACCATCCCGCTAGTCAAACCCAAGACTAGCGAAGCAAGCCGGCAGCGTAACGTTCCATTTCGAGGCTTTTTCTGGAAGATCGTGTGAATGTAGTCAACCGTCTGTTATGACATGCTCCCTGACACGCGCCCTCTCTGTCAGTTTCGAATTTTGTCAGACGGTCAGAGTCGTCATCTCTTCGCCCTCCGGTAGCAGTCTCGGGAAGCAGCAGGAACGCAGGAGATGGGCTGCAGTAATCTAGGTGACACAGAACGCGGCGCTTTACCAAATCTATGGCTTCGTAGCGAAAGGGGAGGCAAATGACCGAAGAATATCCATGTTACGTGCTTGCAGCAGGATGACGAGGGTGTCTGTACGGAGTACGTACTTCGTCGTGTAGCCAGCGTGCTGTGCCGCAACCTTGCATGGCTGAGGCAAGGGTTGTTGGCTGCGGGCGAAAGAGAACAGAAAGACGCCTGAGAGAAAAGTCTGATCTGCGACCGATGTTACCGTTTTCGGCGCATCTTTTCCTCTGCGTGGGCGATGAATCATGAGAGTAAAGTGCTGATGGAGACGGTGGGTATCTGTGAGGGGCGAACGAGATAGCATGAAGAACGAGATGCGATCCAGGACGAGCTTTTCCCGTCATCGCCGAATCTGGTGCGTTGGAGTGTCTTGATATGGTGATGCCTCAAAGACCTGGTGCTGGTCGTGATTTAGGGGCAGCCAACGGGCCAGCTTAGAGTACGAAGAGGCTTGGTGTTTGAGAACCAGGTATTCCTTGTGGACTTGAAAATGCGTACCACGGTTGCGAGGGACTGAGGTGAGGTGAGTGAATTATCCTTGCAGAGACCGCCGTAAGTGGTCGTGAGAGGCGCGGCTGCTGCGCTAGATTACCACATCCTTTCCGTGTATACTTCGGTGGAGTTACGGCATTGTTTCCCGGGAGCCTCCACCGCACGAGAATGCTTAGCCAGACACAGGCGAGAAGAGGGAGATGGGAAAATCCGTCTCTTGAAAGAGTGGTTCTGGGGGAAGGGGGGCCTAGCTTTACAAGGTTGTGGGAGTTGAACTCCGTAAATAGGGAAAATGGCCAAGAACGCCTGAAAAGGCACAGCAACACGAAATCTCCCACTTTTCTCTTTGGCCTGTGGGTTCCTCGGTGGAATTACGTACGGGCCCAGAGGTGAACTTTTGCAATTCAGCCTTTCTCTCTGCCTATCCCCCACCCCTCCTAGCCTGTCCGAGATTAGCGGTTCTGGGGGTTGGTATGGCATCCCCTGCTTTCTAGCGAGGCACTTTGGCTGTCTCGCTAACCTCCCCCAATTCCCTTTCTGTCTCGACAACTCGCCAATGATTGAAATGAGCTGGCGTTCGAGCAAGCGATTGGAAACCAAAGACTTTTCGAAAGTAAGGGCCATCGTCAAAGTGTGGTTGAAACTACCGTTTGCTTGTCGGGCCGGGGTGTAGTAGCGGCGACGACCGCGCACCGTTCCGTTGTGGCACAGACATTTGGCAAGCAAACAAAACGGGTTTGTTAAGCCTTTTTCTGCTCCCCTTCGCTCCCTCCCGCGCTCCCGCCCTCTTCCCTAGTGTGCCAGTGCCTGTTGTTTGCCTGTAGGTATATGCCGCCGAAGGAACAGCGCCCGTTGGAAGGGAGAGGATGGGGGGACCCAGACTTGCCCGTCGACGGCGTCTTTCCTAGGCCCTTGGTGTGTGATTGTGTGTGTGTGTAGCACAGGTGGCGCCCGGGGGGGAGGTCTCCGGCGATCCTCCCGCCTCATGGGTGTCTCTGGCTGGGCCACCCTGGCCGGTGGCCCCCGACATCAGGCGATTTCTCTGGGCAGGGGTCAAGGGAAGTGGGATTAGAGTTTTCGGCTCAAAAAGAGTACCACAGTGGGGGTGGTTCGATGAAAGGTCGAGGAGAGACCGCGGTCTGGTTGCGTGAAATTGGATGACTTTCGAGTTCTCTTGCATCGGATGTGAAGCCCTTTGGGCTGATGGTGCAGAGACTGGTGGGAGAGTTCTGAGAGATGTGTTCCGCGCCCAGGCCGGTCACCACACATACAATTACATTATTGCTGCATCTCATTGGTGCCGTACGCTCTCTTGCTCGTTTCATTTGCCTGCTTGCCGCACAGCCGCCACTGTTGCTGCATAGAATTCTGACTTATCGTCCATTGTTTTCAGCCGTTGCAAAAAAGAAAAGAGGCCTGGTCGAAGTTATACACGCCCCCCAGCCTCTCCCCAAGACCAACCGATTCGTCCAACGGGCAAGCCACAAGAAAAAGCACGCTCCAAGCAAAGAAGCTGCCCAGCGGCCCAGCAAAGGAAAAGGCCC